TTTGAGTCCCGGTTAGCCGGGATTATGGACGGACTCACCGCATAACCAGCGCAGCATGTTGGTTTGTTTTTATTTCGTTTTATTCTTTGCGGCGACATAATGGACATCAAATGCTTTGTCTGCTTGGAGTCAGAGTTGCTGCGTGGGGATCAGAACAAGTCGTCCCATGAAGCCCCGGCAACCAGAGCCTGATTGGCTCTAAAAGAGCCGATATGACCATCATTAAAACTCAACAGACACCAAATGGAAGAGCTGCTAAAGCTGCATAGATTAAACCTCCTGTTGTCCCTCTGCAACCAGCAGAGAAGCGCTGAGCAGCAGGTCTAGCTCATCATGCCGGTCCGGTCCAATGTTGAAGCAGAATCTGACTTATGGGCCCCATCAGCAGCATGAAGCCTGGCAGAGGGGCCTGGTGTAAAAGCAGTCAGTGATAACTGTGGTTTACTAAGATGCATTAATGAACAGCTAAAACTCAAATATTCAACTCATAGCATCAGATTGTTGCTATGGTAACAAAACAAACTATGAATGTTGTTCTTTGAACATTTACAAAGTAAACTTGCCAGCTCATTAAAATCTTGCATTTAAATGTTAAACATTTAAAATCTTGTAATTTATCTGCTGAAACCACTGATAGTCTCTTAGTTCATTTATGCCTTGGGCCGGCTCTAAATGTGATCCACTGACTGATGACTTAATTTGGATAATATCATTTATGCAATAATTGATATTTATTTTAAATGTATTTTTGTGTTTTGTTGTTTTTAAGATTCTATAGTTATGGGTTTAAGTAATGTTGTCTTCCAGTAACATAATTAATGATAAATATTTTGTTTCCTGTCAACTTAACGTGTTTCAATGTAAAACCCTGATGGATCGTGCCGCTGCTCTGCTTTCATCAATTTATTTTGTTATATTCATTCAGCACTTTGTTAAAGTGCTGAATGAATATATTTGACATCAACAACCGAGGTCGCCCCACACACACACACACACACACACACACACACACCTAGAAGAGCGGCGGATCTTCCTGTGGCTGGACCTCTGTACAGTGACAGTAAAGACATTCTGGTTCTGCTGGTACCTGATCCAGGTGCAGCTCCACCTGGTCTCCAGTTCTCAGGTGGTCCGGAACCGTCACCTGGTGGACCACGTATCCTCCGGCCCGGTTCACCGCCTCCACTGAGAACAGAACCTCCTGAGGGACAGAACACCTGGAGTCACCTGGAGACTCTGCGGACGTTTCCCATGATGCTCGGCTCACCTGCAGCCCGTCGCGCATCAGGTAGCCGCGGTCATGCGACTGGCCGCCCTGCTCCGAGTAGAAGCAGGTCCGGTCCAGAATCACTCCGCAGCGCCGACCCGGGCCGACTTCCGGAACCAGCGACCTGCCGTCGTACAGAGCCAGGACCGTCGCTTGGCATGCTGGGAACACTGGGAGGAGGGGAGGAGTTACGGCGTTGGCCAATCACAGGCTGCCTACCTGTGCGGGCGCCGCCTACCGTATCGGCCGTTCTCCAGGTGGTAGCGGTACTTGGGGCCGTCGTCGGTGTGAGGAACGCCGGCACGCTGCAGCGCCGCCAGGCTCAGGACGTCCAGCAGGAGGCGGGGCCGCGAGTCCGCCTGCTGCTCCGCCCGCATCTGGGCAGGTGACATCACCACTGACATCAGCTCCTTCACAATAAAAGCTCCCATGTAGTTTTTCACAGGAAGCCAAATAACCGCCATGATGCTGGAAGTGTCAGTCCGACCTCTGACCCACAGAGGACCAGCAGGTGCACCCTGGGAATCCCTCACCTTCTGCTCGTGGGAGACGAGGCGGTCCAGCTCCTGGCGGTCCACCTGGATGCCGCGTTCCTCCAGCATCAGGTCCACCAGGTCCAGAGGGAAGCCCAGGTCCCGGTACAAAGACCACGCCACCGCCGCTGCGGACGAGCAGCAGGAAGTTAGCTCCCCTGCAGACCCACACCTGCAGATCACCATGCGAAGTGCGGCGGCGGACCAGGGAAGGGGCCGCTGCCCGTCCGGAGGCAGGTCCTCTGGATCAGCCGGCTGCCGCGCTGCAGGGATGACAGGAAGTGACCCTCGTTCTCGTTGATGATGTCGGCGATCTGAAAGAGACGCTGCCGCTGGTGACCACTTCCTGTGACATCATTCATGTGCTGCTCCTGTGGACCAACACTCACCCGGTCCGCCTCCCGGAACAGCTCCGGATATGTGTCGCCCTGCACCAGAGGTCAAAGGTCAGCCAATGAAAGCACGTGGTTGCCAGCCAGAGGGATGATGGGAAATGTATTGTACCAGAGTCTGAGCCACGGTGGGGACCAGGCTGGCCAGCGAACCCGGCGGAGCCTGCAGAACCTCGGCACAGAACCGGACCGCCCGCCTCAGGATCCTCCTCAGCACCAACCTGGACCGAACAAAGGGGTCAGCTTGACATCACGGCGCCGCCAGCCGATGGGCCGCAGACTCACTCGGCACCAGACATCCCTGGATGCACCCCGTCGGCGATGCAGACCGCCAGGGTTCGGATGTGGTCGGCCACGACTCGGTAGGCCCGGTCCACCTGGGCGTCCGGCGCCGCGCCCATCCTGCCGCCATAAGGCCCCACCCTCGACCGCTGCGGACACAGCAGAGACATGTTGCCATGACGACAGGCTGGTCGTCATGTCGACCACCGCCCTTCGACCCGACTCACCTGGTGGATGGCGTCCAGCAGCGGCGTGAACAGATCCGTGTCATAGTTGGAGCGCTTCCCCTGCAGAACGCCGACCAGTCGCTCCAGTCCCATCCCAGTATCCACGCTGAACTGGGGCAGCAGCCGCAGGCTGTGGTCCGCCTCCCTGAGGCAGACTGGGACCAGTTTACACGGGTCTGAGCTGGTTTAAACTGGTCTGAGGTGGTGTGGTGTGAAGCCAGACCTGTTGTACTGGATGAAGACCAGGTTCCAGATCTCCACCACCTCGGCGCCGCCTGCGTTGACCAGCGCCGCAGCGTTGCGGCCGCCAACGTGGTCGTAGTGGATCTCGGTGCAGGGGCCGCAGGGGCCCGTGTCCCCCATCTCCCAGAAGTTATCCTTCAGACCGAACGGAAGCACACGCGACGCAGGAACCCTGCAAAACACAGAACCCGGTCAGAACCAGGTCACATGGCCCAGAACCAGCCGCAGTCCCGCTTGGACCTACCCCAGGTGCAGCCAGATGTCCCGGGTCTCCTGGTCCGCCGACAGACCCGAGCTGGCGTCTCCTCCAAAGTATGACACATACAGCCTGTCTGCCGGTATCCCATAATGCTCGGTGAGGAGGCTCCACGCCATGCGGCACGCCTCTTCCTGTCATAGACATAATATAAGGATAGACCCTCATGGACCGCTCTCGCCTGTTGTCG